AAGTGACCCTCTGCTGGATTTACATAAAACAACACCCTTGTTTAGATTTCTTCACTTCCCTGTCTTGCTTCCCTACTCCCCTTCCAGTTTACCCCGGGAACAATTCCTTAACAATCACTTGCAAAGAAATCTACACTTTTCAGTTTTTCAAAAGGCTTTATTGCCTGGCAACACCTCACCAAATCAGAGTTATCCCATACTCATGAATGACTCAATTTCATAAAATGCAAGTTCTTTCCAAATTGATCCGTAGATAATGTACACTACAATGTCTAACAAAATCTTCAATCGGTTATTGTATTAAATTTTAAAAATCGGTTTTTTAATTGTCTAAAAGATGATAGGATTCAGATGCTAAGATTCAAGTTAGAGAACCTTGTCCTCCCAGATATCAAGACATTATAAAACTATTAGAGTAATTAAGACAGTGTAGGGTGCACTCAGAATCAGAGTCTAAATACAGATATTTGATATATGAGAGAAGTGATACTGAAGACTAATAGAGAAAAGAAGGATCATTTAAGAAATCATGATGGGGCTCGGCACCCGTAGCTCAGTGGGTAGAGCACCGGCCACATACACTAGGGCTGGTGGGTATGAACCCGGCCCAGGCCTGCCAAACAACAATGACAACAACAACAACAAAATAGCCAGGCATTGAGTCGGGGACCTGTAGTCCCAGCTGCTTGGGAGGCTGAGGCAAGAGAATTGTTTAAGCCCAAGAGTTTGAGGTTGTTGTGAGCTGCAATGCCACAGCACTCTACCAAGACTGACATAGTGAGACTCTGTCAAAAAAAAAGAAAAAAAGAAATGATGATGGAACATTTGGTTATCCATGGAGGGCGATAAAACTGAATCCTTTCCTCACACAATTCCCAATGATCAATTTTAAGTAGTATCAGAACATAATGAAAAAGTACAACTTTAGCTTTTTGGAATAAAATATCAAGTCCTGACCCTGACTTAACAGATATTTCTTAAGCTCAAAAAGCACTAACAATAACAGAAAATGTAAAACTGTTAACTTCATTGAAAATAAAAAATGTTTAAAACAGCACAAAGTGAAAGGATAAGTCACAAGTTAATCTTTGTTTGTGTTGCACTTTATTTTTCTTACATGATGACCGTGTTGCTGGGGTCTAATGTTTTCACTTAACAGTAGGAAACCAAAATTTGTCATCCTTAAAGAATTGAGAATTGTATACCAAAACCTTACATAAATTAAAGGGTTAAAAAAGTTTACAGGTGTAAAGACAAACTGCTTCCAACTCAAGCCAAGTAACCACCCATGGTATTCTTTTTTTTATTATTATTTTATTATTTCATAGCTGTGTACATTTATGTACTTATGGGGTACATTGTGCTGGTTTTATATACAATTTGAAATACTTACATCAAACTGGATAACATAGCCTTCACCAGGGCAGCGCCTATAGCTCAGTGAGTAGGGTGCTGGCCCCATATACCAAGGGTGGTGGGTTCAAACCCAGCCCCGGCCAAACTGCAACAAAAAAATAGCCAGGCGTTGTAGCAGGTGTCTGTAGTCCCAGCTACTCATGAGGTTGAAGCAAGAAAATCGCATAAGCCCAAGAGCTGAAAGTTGCTGTGAGCTATTATGCCACAGCACTCAACTGAGGGTGACAAAGTAAGATTCTGAAAAAAAAATAGACTTCACTGCAATGTCTTGCATTTTACATGGGTACATGTCAAATCTACTAAGTATAGAATATTAATACCCAAACAACAATATTAACACCCATGGTGTTCTGACAGGAAAACATCAGGTAAGAAAGGAAACTGGGTGTCATGACTTGGAGTTAATCTTATAACTGAAATATAACTGACAAAGCATTAGTCCAACTATACACAAAACTCTTAGAAATCTATTTTTTAATTCAAACAATTAATAGAATAATGGGAAAAGGTAGTCAGTTTACAAAAAAGGAAGCACATATGAAAAGAAACCTGGAAATGTGCTCAACTTCATTAATAATCAGGCAATCACATGCTGAAGAGGGTGGTAGAGACTGAATATTTGTGCCCCTTCTCAAAATTCATATGTTGAAATCCTAACACCCAGTGCAATGATATCTAGAGGGGGAAATTTGGTGAACTCCAAGAAGGAGTTCACAGTCCCTTCCTCAGTGCCATACCTGCCACATCCCTTCTTAGGTCTCTCCCCAACCACAGCATGCTAAACAAATTTACAATAAAAATACATCTTCTTAGTATTTATAATTGAGAAGTCCTCCAGATAAACTCAGCACTGGGAGATCAAAGACAGTTGAGAAAATAAAGGCTGTTGAGTGTAGTTTAAATAAAGAGAGTGAGTGACCTCAAATGTGCAGTCAACAAAGTCCATCTGGAGGAACTTTCACAACATCTGTAGTAGGAACGTTAAAACAAGGTTGGCTCTCAGGGAAGAGGCTTAATGGGAAACACAAATCTTTGTAATTCAGTGTTTTGTTTCTCTTGTGATAATTGTATAAAGGCCATAAATCTGTGAAAACTATATACAGTATTATCTTTCTTACAAATCACCCCAAAAATGAGACGAAGGAAATATGTGAAAAAAGTGAGAACAAATAAGATAGACCTGGTTTTAGTTCATAGCCTGTATTCCTGAATAAAATAGAGGCATAGGCTATCTGAGCTGAAGGTGCTTAGGGATTTGTCCTTATTTGTCTACATCAGGGAATGGAAGCCCTGACAACTTGGATGGAGGAAGGGAAGGCCCTAAAACTAGAACTCTGTTTCATTACTTTCTGCCTAGTGCCATTTCCACCTCCTCACATGGCAGTCTCTTTTCTAAAAGCCAAGTTCTCAGACCTCACACAGTACCTCTCAGTACTCACCCAGGCTCCCCACCCACAACTGAAACTCAGATAGGCTTTTATCCACTGCAGTATATGATCAACTCCCTCCAACCAGAATTTCTCCCTTTTCCCTCACACCATCAGGAAGCAAGAAGAGCCACCTGTCATTCAAAGCATACTTATGATTCTATACCCTAAAATTGTCCTCAGCACCTATAAATAGGAATTAAGGCAGATCATGGGATTCATGAGTAACCACATTCTAATCACCTTTGCTCTGACAATTCCATGATGTGAGTTCTTTGATTTCTTCAAAGAAAAGATTAGAATTTCCAGATGCCGTGACAGCTCACTATTACACAAAACTGAGTACCTAAACTTTAAAATTTTATCTAGTATACTAGAACATCTCCACTAACTATAGATACACATATTTAAATGTATGAATTTATACATTCACATATATGCCCTTATATACATCAACATACATGCATTCATGCAGGCACACACATGTAAGACATGACACCACTATCACTTTAGCTTAAAATACTTTGTGAAGGCAGTAGTAGAAAGAACACTAGACCAGCCATCAGAAGTCCTTGTGTGTGACCTTATGTTCCTAGTGTAGCCTGTCTGTACCAGCTTTAAACCTGAACAACCATGCATATTCTTAAATTCTTACAAAGAGTTTTATAAAGATATTATGTATTCAATACAAAGGAAGGTGATGTATGAAAAATTCTGAGAATATTGTGCGTTCAAGATGTAAACTGAAAAAAAAAAAAAGATGTAAACTGTATTTTATTGCTATTGTTCTTACAGTCCAGATCAACATTTGCATTTGTAATTGTTAGGCCCCAGATGGAACTACAGAGTATTTCTACCACCCTCACGCAACCTGCATCACAGTCCTCCTGGTGAGTATGCTTGCTTCATGAAGTCGTTGAAGGCACTAAAGGAGTTCATACAATCAAAACACTTAGAACAGTGTCTGCATATTGGAGGAAGTTAATGAGTCAGCTTTTGTCATACACTAAAATATAGGTAAGTTCCATGAGTGTAAGGAGTTTTGTCTATTTTCTTTTTTTGCTGTACCTTTAGGCCCAAGATTAGTACCTACTGCACGCTGAGTGTTCAACAAATATTTGTGGCATAAATAAGTGAATCTGGTAGTCACAAGGGCTTTGGAGGAAAGGACAGGGATGGAGGGTGACTAGAAAGAGAAAAGGGAAAAGAAGACATTACCAAGAAACACTATTAAGCAACAGACTTAGAGGACTTATTAAAGTCCTACAGATCCTCACTCAACCTTGTGAAGCTATAGTGTTCATGTCTCCTTTTGTAAACATGGAAATTGAGACCCCAAGCAGTTAAATGACCCATGAAGTGAGACATCTAATCCTGCTCTTCTAATTGCACCCTATGCAAACTTGGCCCCTGCCAGCAACAAAATAGATCAAAGCAAAGGCTTCCACAGGGGTAGCAGTCCCCGCTGTGCTAGAGAGAGATAATAACCATCAGAAGTGCTGGCACTGTTTTCCTTGGCTCTTCCCTCCATTGTTCTAATTCATCATCCATCCACGGTCCTTCAGAAGTTCCTGGTCATCCCTGCTGGGTGTCCATTTGCTCATTCTTTATCAAGGCATCCTGAGATGGGAAAAGCCCTGAAAGCAGATGTCGGGTCCCAAGTTCTAGTCCCCACCCTGCTCTGGGTTTATTGTGTGACTTTGTGTGAATCCCTCCACATTTATTCATTTATTCACCTGCCTGCTGAGCATGGGAAGGGATAAGAGTAAAGTGGTTTGAATATCCTAAGAGAGAAGAAAGTGAATCTCACTGAACGCTGTGTTAGCCAACACAAAGGAATTATGCTGTTATTTATGTCTAGATGAGATTCCTGGACTTGCAGGAGACTCCCTCATTCATAGACTCTCACGGATTTATTAAATGAGTTCTTAAATACCACACTAAGAGTCTCCTGGAGTATAATCTCCTTGGGGGTAAAGACTGCCTCACTCTTGATAAACACTCAATAAATATTCAGTGACCGAAGGATTGAAAGAACACCTGGGGTTATCATAACAAAAACAGCTAGAAATAGATTGTCATTACAAGCATGGAACTGGGAATACAAAACCTGTGTGAGATGGAACAAGACAGGAAGGTCCCCAACTGCCTGTGGAGTCACTTCTCTCCTAATCCCCTCTTCACCCTAAACAGTTTTCTCATGGCATTTTTCACCTCATTGTTCCTTAGCGTGTAGATCAGAGGGTTCAGCAAAGGCGGCATTACAATGTTGAAGAGGATGACAAGCTTGTCAGCGGCCAGGGTGGTAGATGGACGAATGTACATGAACATAGGGGGCACGAGGACCAAAAGGACAGTGATGATGTGGGAGCCGCACGTGGAGAGAGCCTTGCGCCTGCCCTCCGCTGACCGGCTTCTCAAGTTCAGTAAGATGACCATGTAGGAGAGGATGAGGACTAGGAAGGAGACTAATGAGATCATGCCACTGTTGGCCACCACGATGAGCCCCACCACATAGGTGTCTGCACAGGCCAACTTCAGGAGGGGATGAACATCACAGAAGAAGTTGTCTATCTCATTGGGCCCACAAAAGGGCAGCTGGACCATGAGGAGGGTCTGCAGGATGGAATGCACGAAGCCAGCGATCCAGGAGGCCCCTGCCAGCAGGCCACACTTTTGCCGATCCATGATGGTTGTGTAGTGCAGGGGCCTACAGATGGCCACATAGCGGTCATAGGCCATGGCTGTGAGGAGGAAGATCTCAGTGCCACCAAAGAAGTGGGCAGAAAAGAGCTGGGTCATGCAGCCATTGAAGGAGATAGTCTTGTGCTCCACAAACGTGTCGGCGATCATCTTGGGCGTTGTAGCAGAGGGATAACACATGTCAGCAAAAGACAAGTGGCTGAGAAAGAAGTACATGGGAGCATTCAGGGTCTGGCTCACATTGATGGTGACAATGACCAGGAGGTTCCCCAGGACAGTGAGCACGTGAAAGAGGGAGAACAGCACGAAGCAGGCGTGCTGCAGCTCCCTGCTCTGGAAAAGGCCGGATAAAACGAACTCAGTCACGTTGTGCCTGGCACCCATGGATTCTCTCCACCCCAAGCCCCGACACAGGGCTGACTCTGCAAAGACACAAATTATATGACATAAGAAAGTTTCTTGAGACATCACTGAGATAGTGGAATAGAAAAGATATTAGACTTATCCCCCCACGAAAAAATAACATAGCCAGCAATCCGCAAACCAAAATATCCCTGAGAGGGCTCAAGGATCCATTAGAGAATCTACAGCAACACAGTGGAGCAAAAATGTAGAGACTAACCACACAGGAAAGATTGCCAGTGAGACTGGTGTGTTGAGATGCCAGGGGATGGCTAGGGATGGAGAAAAGTGGAGGCAACTGGTGTCAGCTACATGGTGGGAACCACCATGGTCCCCAGAAGCCTGCTCTGCTGAGGGCATTGGTTTCTTTTGTCACTGAGAAAACCGCCCAGCCATTCCCACCAGGGGGCCCTAAACCCAAGAAGGGATGCTGTTCATCTGCTTTCAACTTTGTACTGAAAGCCTTAGCCAGGTGTATCCTCAAACTTTGGCTTAATAAACCTCCATTGATTGAGGTCTTTGCCTCAGTCACTTATTTTGGGTTGCCAAAACAAGTAAGTACCTTTACATCTTTACTGATTGGCCTAGAAACGGGTGGGAAATGGGATGTCACATTCCGATGAATTTGATCTCTCACCAGTTTTCAGAGACATTCTCTGTCTTGAAGAAGAAAGGAAATTTGTCATGCAATTTAGAAAAATTTCTACCTTAATATATTAAAGTGTAAAAAATCTCCTGAGAGTCTTTTAAGCTTCAGGTATTCAAAAGCTATATTTACATGAGTGTGCTCCCACTTAAAGGGCACAGGGGAGAGGTGTATAGCACACCTTTGGGGTATGGGATATAACTACAAGAGGAACTCTACCTAACAAATTCAGAAATGGTGACTTGGTTGTTTGTACCTTCACAATAACCTGAAATTAAAAAATTTAAAACATTAAGATTAACAAATTGTGGTATATGTATACCATGAAATACTTAGCAGCTATAAAAAAAGATGGAGATTCACATCTTTTATGTTTACCTGGATGGAGCTGGAACATATTCTTCTTAGTAAAGTATCTCAAGAACGGGGGGAAAGTATCCAATGTATTCAATACCACTATAAAATAGGTAAGTAGTCACCTACACATTCACAGGAATGGTAAAACATAACTATGTCCAAAAAGAAGGAGGGAAGAGGAGAGGAAGGGGAGGGGTGGGGGTATGTCGGGAGGAGGGAGGGTTTGGGGGGATCCAACCTAGTGTGCATAATGCAGTGATACGTTTCTATACTATTAAGAATAGAGTATGAGTGTTTTTGGAACAAGTAAGCAAGGAGATGGTTATGTTAATCAGTCAGATGTAAGCATTCCACATTGTATAGCAAATCAGCACCTTGTACTCCATAAATGCACTGATGTACACAGTTATGATTTAATAAATAATTAAAATAAATAAAAATAAAACATTAAAATATTTATTTACATGAAAGAGCACCTTGCCAGGTGGGTAAGAACTTGGTGGAAAGTGTTTCAACACTACTTCAGTGAAAATACACTCGGGATGGCTCTTATTTCCAAAAAGTTAACATGGCATCAGGGATCACATCCCAGGGCAGCCCATCCTTTGTTCTGTAAAGTCTGACATCTCCACTCTAAGTGTACAGCCTTCCCTGCTAGCAGCCCCCACCATGGTCCAGGCATTCATCTAATATGTGAAAGTACTCTCTGAACTTTAGCATCTCCACAAGTGGAGGGAACAGTAACCATAGCAATATAACATTTGCTGGCATTTATTAAGCACTCGCTGTTTACCAGTCTTGTGCAGAAGCTTTTAAACACCTCATTTCACTCAGTCCACTTAATATTGCTTTGAGAAAGCTACTGTGATTGTTTCTATTTTTCAAAAGAGGAAAATGAGGATCAGCATGAACGGATGAGGCCAAGTACATGCAACAGTGAGGATTAGAGTTGAAAATGCCATCCAGTGTGCAGGGTTTTAAAGGGTAAACTAAAAGTAAAATCCTAGGGCCCCCTGCAAACTGAACAGACCCCCTCTCAGACAAGGGGATCCCAGAAAATCCTTAAAACTGAGTTCTTGGCCATGAAGGGGAAGGAGGTTGGAGTTTAGATACAATTGACAAGCTTGGCACCTGTAGCTCAAGCAGCCAAGGCACCAGTCACATACATACACCAGAGCTGGCAGGTTCGAATCCAGCTCGGGGCCTGCCAAACAGTAATGATAACTACAACTAAAATATAGCCGGGTGGTGTGGTAGGCACCTGTATTCCCAGCTACTCGGGAGGCTGGGGCAAGAGAATCACTTAAGCCCAAGTTGGAAGTTGCTGTGAGCTGTGATGCCATGGCACTCTACCCAGGGCGACAGCTTGAGGCTCTGTCTCACAAAAAGAAAAAAAAACATTGACAGCATTAATGTTACAACAGATCTAAGGCTGACAGAAGAGACTTTGTGTGACAATACAATACCAAATTACTAGCAAGAACTAAGGCCTAAATCATACCTGCAGGCCATCAATTTACTAAACAGATCACTCGAGGCAGTTTATTGAGTCAGTATGTTCCACTGTCTCTAATAGACTTTCAAACCCTTTAGATAAAGCTTTATTTCTTTAACCAATTACAAATCAAAGAATCCTTGAACCCACCTATAACTCCCCCCACTCCAACTTTAAGATATCCCAACTTTGGGGGCTAAACAAATGTATACCTTCCATGTACTGATTCATGATTTTACCTGTGATTCCTGTCTCCATGAATATGTAAAACCAAACCATAACTGGTTGCCTCAGGTACATTTTCTCAGGCCCTCTGGAGACTATACTCCTAGCCAGGATCACACATATTCAGCTCAGAATAAACCTCTTTAAATTATTTTCCCAAGCTTGCATTCTTTTCATTAACAGAAGCTATCCTCTTAGTCACTAGGCAGCATTTCTGGTCAAAGAAGTGGGAGTATCTGATCTCCCCAAGAGGCCATGTCTTCAGCAGCTGAAGAGTAAGCAAGAAAATGGTTAAGGAGAAGAATTTCAGCATGTCATAGGATTCTGAAAAAAAAAATCAGATGTAAAATTCCCATTTGATGCACCTGAGGGCGAGAGCCTGAGAAATAGCCTGGTACTGTGGTAGGACCTCCATCCTGGCTCTGGAAACAGAACAGAGAGACAGCAAAGCAAGTGACGACATCTGTTTTCTACAAGGGCCCTTTGTTGGTCCAGGTTTATTTTAAACAAATTGTCCCAAAAGTCCAGCCTACAGGAGAACTAACCTCGGTGAGCTCCACCCTCCTCAGGTGAACTGCCGAGAAGTCTAGCCAGAGACCGGGAAGGTTGCTGTGAACTTTTAAGCACAGAGACTTCAGGGAAGCTGTGTGCAAGGTGTCACCTCAGCCAAGACCATCAGCAGACCTGGGCGCCTCTGCTTTGGAAGTCATAGCACTTCTGTTTTTAGCAAAACACCTTGAGGCTTGATAATGAGACCCCAGGGGCACTGCACCCCAATTAGGGGAGTGGGCCATGGAGACACCTTACCTCCTTGTTGCGTGAACTTTGTGATTCAGACTAACTTTAGAGGCTAAGAAAGACACTTTTTTTTATTCCTTGTTTTAGACTTCTGTACTGAGTCATCTCAAACTCTTTCATTCAGCATGTGGTTTTATACCATCTATGTGGGGAAATAAGCTGGTGTTAAATATGAAGGGACCTATTTTTCTTTTTTCCTAAGAAGCAGGGACAAGTTCGAACTAAACTAGCCCCTTGACCACCACCTTATGTTAACACAGAACTTTGAAAAATGTTTTCACAAAAAATCATTTTACCATAAGAACATTTGCACTAGAATGTTCATTGCAGCTCAATTCTCAATCGCCAAGATATGGAATCAACTCAAGTGGTCATCAATATATGAGTGGATTAATAAACTGTGATATCTGTATACCACAGAATGCTATTCAGCCACAAAAAAGATGGAGACTTTACATCTTTTGTATTAACCTGGGTGGAATTGAAGTATCAGCAGAATGGAAAAGCAGGTATCCAATGTACTCAATACTAATATGAAATCCATAGATAAGCAACTACACACCCACACAAGAGAAAAACACAATTAAATTTGAGTGAGGGAAAGGGGGGAGGAGGGAAAGGGAAGAGGGGAAAGAGAAAGACTGGTAAACTCTCACCTAATGGGCACAGTGTAAGGGGACACAGCACACCCCCCGAGTAAAGAGCTCAATTATAACTTGAACTTGACCTAACAATCACAAATAACACAGCCTAATCATTTGTACCCTCATATTGATCTGAAATAAATTTTTAAAAGAAACTGTTTTTGCCCTGTGAGTTAGGTAAGACAGACACGAGGTAGCATAACAGGGTTCGTTACAGCATGGATGAAGGAGTCAAGCTTCCTTGTGTAAAGGCTGACTCTCCCACTAGTAGGTATATAACTCTGAAAAGTGGCTTAATTTCGTAATGAAGGATGCCACTTGCTCATCTGCAGCTTTTTCTTAGATTGAAAGAAATCAATAAACAATTCCACAGTGTAGTTGGGGAAACTAATTTCACTGCCCTAGGAAATGGTAGTGTGATTAGATCAAAACATCTGTAGAAACACAGACCAGAATAACATATAAACCACTATAACCTAAATGACATTTGCAAAATGTACACCCTAAAACTGAAGACCGCACATTCTTTTCAAGGACACATTATATTAAGATAGACCTTATGTTGGATTTATTGTTTTACAATAAGCTAGTTAGAGGCAAAATACAAAGATGTGTAAGATTCGGGCCATATTCCCAAAGAATCACAGACTAATGGGGAGAAATAAACATTGGTATAAAGGTGTTAACCCATTTATGCCAGAAATTGGAATTTTTTTAATTTTTTGCATGTTGCCCATGGCTCCAGCGAGACTGACTGTAACATCTGTCATAAGCCAACCTATAGTGTTTCTCACCCTGTTCTTTAACTAGACAGGTG